TGTAGGGCGTGGTGGTGGAGGGGCGCGAGAGGGGGCGCGAGGGCACCCGGGCGGGCACGCGTCCGAAGGAGGGCGCGGGCGTGGGGATGGGCGTGTAGGCGGGTCTGAGCTTCATGTTCTTGTGCGGGCGCGTGGGCGGCGGCGAGGAGAGCAGCGGCGCGGGCGTGGTGGTGAGGATGGGCGCGGGGCGTGGCGGCCGGGGTGGGGCGGTGGCGAGGGGCGGGGCGTTCGGGCGGAGGGGGCGGGGCGTCGAGGAGAGCCAGCGCCGCGGGCATCTTGGCGCCGAAGGAGGGGGGGGAGGGGCGGAGGGGGGGCTCGAGGGGGGTCAGCCTCTGCAGCGCCTGAAACGATCGCTGTGTCACGTGTCATCTCCTTTGCGCATCTCCCTACCCATGGCCATTAATTAACACTAAAAGCATCCATACCTGTCTTTGTGCAAATAAATCCATCTAAAAATAACTAGTATATATAATATTTTGTGCAAATAAATCCATAATAACTAGTGCAAATAGTACAAATAGTAGTGCATAGTGTGCGTAATATATGCTAGCGCCTTGTATGATTAGTTTTGAATAGACCGTAAATAACTAGTATATATAATATTTTGTGCAAAAAAACTGAGCATCCATCTAAAAATAACTAGTATATATAATATTTTGTAAATAACATGCAAAACTGACAACATAAAATACAATTCTATCCCCATCATTGTTTTGTTTTATTTGCATACTTCCATACCTTTTATTGACAAAGTAAACATAAAGAATATCTACATAAATTCCAGGGGATTATTATGAAATTTGGTGCTGAAATCAGTGATATTAATCATCTTAAATAATTTAGAACATATTTCACGTCTGTCTAAAAGTTTAGAACATTTAAAAACCGTCATTGATATTTATTACTTTGAGATATATGTTGATGTGACTGTTACTGTATATTTTTTTAAAGAAATAAACTACAGAATTATATAACATGAAAATTCCCTGAAATACAAAAGCAAAGGTTTTAAGATTAGGTTTAGAAGAAGAGGAATAAGAAAAGGAATAGCAAGAAATGGAAAAGGAGAGATGAGGAAGAAAAGAAAAACAAGTCAGTAGGAAAATGAAGCAACAGAAGCAAATTTGATACTGAAATCACAATGATATTAATTATCCTAAATCATTTAGAACATATTTCACGTCTGTCTAAAAGTTTAAAACATTTAAAAACCGTCATTGATATTTATTACTTTGAGATATATGTTGATGTGACTGTTACTATATATCTTTTAAAGAATATAAACTACAGAATTATATAAGCATGAAATTTCCTGAAATACAAAAGCAAAGGTTTTAAGATTAGGTTTAGAAGAAGAGGAATAAGAAAAGGAATAGCAAGAAATGGAAAAGGGGGAAATGCGGAAGAGAAGAAAAACAAATCAGTGGGAAAAAGAAACAGCAGAAGATGAAGGAAAACGCAGAAAGAATAAGACAAAAAAAGACAAAAAAGGAAAAGGAGGAAAACAGAAAAGAAGAGAAACAGACGACAAAGACGAAGAAGAAGAAAAAGAAAATACAGAAAGAGAGACAAATGTCAAACACAAAGACGAAGAAAAAAAGAAATACAGAAAGAAAGACAAATGGACAACAAAAACAAAGAAAAAAATACAAAAAAAGACAAATGGACAACAAAAACAAAGACGAAAAAAATACAAAAAAGACAAGTGGACGACAAAGACAAGACGTAGAAGAAGAAGAAAGAAGAAAAGAAGAAAAAAAAAAGTAAAACCACATCTACACCGCCTCTGCCGCAACGTGACCAAAACCCCCTTTTCCTTATCCAGACTTCTTCCCCATCCTCTCCGCCTCACCTGCGGCCCTCTGTCCTCGCCCTCCCTGTCCTCGTGGCTTCTCTCGCCAGAGGAGTGCTCGTGGGTTCCAGGGGCGCTCGTGTGGTCCTCGGTGTAGTAGTAGGAATCCGTCAGGTAGGAAGGGCCTGGGGGCTGCGTCACCGTCTGTGGAACCGTGGATTGGGGTTTTATTGATTTATTTACGGTACGTTTATCTATGTATTTTTTTGTGTATGTGTGTATACGTGTGTGTGTATTTGTGTGGGGGGGCGGGGGGAGGGTGCGTGCGTGGGGGTACGTGTGTGTGTATTTTGTGTTGTGGTGTGGGGGGGGGCTGCGTCACCGTCTGTGGAACCGTGGATTGGTGTTTTATTGATTTATTTATTTCGCGTACGTTTATCTATGTATTTTTTGTGTATGGTGTATACGTGTGTGTGTATTTGTGTGAGGGGGGGGTGGGTGGGAGGGGTGCGTGCGTGTGGGTATGTGTGTGAGTATTTGTGTGAGGGGGAGGGGGGAGGCATGCGTGCGGGTACGTGTGTGTGTATTTTGCGTGTGTGGGGGGGGGGGGGCTGCGTCACCGTCTGTGGAACCGTGGATTGGGGTTTTATTCATTTATTTATTGTCGCGTACGTTTATCTATGTATTTTTTGAGTATGTGTGTATACGTGTGTGTGTATTTGTGTGTGGGGGAGGGGGGGCTGCGTGCGTGCGGGTGTGTGTGTGTATTTGTGTGGTGTGTGTTTTTACTATTTCATTGAGGGGTATGTATGCGTGTGTGTATGTGCGTGGAGGAAGCGTGCGTGTGGGTACGTGTGTGTGTATATGAGCGTGTTTTTTTCTATTTCATTGAGGGGTAGGAACAAATATGTTATGATATAAAACGTTAAAGGGATTTTAAAAAATATCAGGGAAACACATCATTTACTAAAATCTCCCATTTACATTTGAAATATTCTTACTTAATTCCAAAACTATTTTGATAATTCAAAAACATTTATCTATACATATATAAACATAAAACCCTCCCTCAAAAAATCAATATACAAAGATAAAACTTTCTGAACATAATTGATAAAAAAATGTTAAGCAATAGATATGAATGTCAAGTAAAAAAAAAGTGACCTTTCTTCTTACACTGACCTAGCTCCAACTCTCCTGACCCAGCTTCAGAACCCCTTACACTGGCTCCGCGACTCTCATACTGCCACCTCGCTTCAGCAATCCTACACCGGACCTGGCCTCATACTGAACCCCCACTTCCAAACGCTCTAACTGATTTGTCTCCCTCATCCTTATACTTCCCTTCCCTCACTTTCCCCTCGCTTCAAATCCCATAGGGTGACCTCGAAGGCTTTTCATACTGACCCCTACATGACCCTAGAACTCAAACCCTTTTAATCCAACTCCAACTCTCCTCTACAGAACGAACCGTATTCATTATATATATATAGAATAGAATATATAAAAAGTATAGAATATAGAATATATATATATATATATATCACGTATAGAATATAGAAAAGGCATGAATGATAATGAATTCCTTTGATACAAAATGTGTATTTAACCGGCTTCGAATATATATTCTCGTATGTTCATTTCATTCATTTTCGTATATTCATTTAGACGAATATAGAAAAAAATGAATGAAAATGAATTCCTTTACGATATAAGAAATATATTTGACCGGTTTCGAATATATTTCTCGTATATTCGCCTGAAATAAGATACAAATATGACATTTAGACGAATATAGAAAACATATGGATGAAAATAAATTACTTCACGATACAAGAGATGTATCTAAACGCATTCGAATCAACACACTCACTCCTGAAATAAGAAATAAAAATAAACAAATAAATAAACAGCCAATAAACAAATAAACAAATAAATAGAGAAATAAACAGCCTGAAATAAGAAATAAATAAAAACAAACAAATAAACAAACAGCCAATAAACAAATAAACAAATAAATAAAGAAATAAACAGCCTGAAATAAGAAATAAATAAAAACAAACAAATAAACAAACAGCCAATAAACAAATAAACAAATAAATAAAGAAATAAACAGCCTGAAATAAGAAATAAATAAAAACAAACAAATAAATAAACAGCCAATAAACAAATAAACAAAGAAAGAAAGAAATAAACAGCCTGAAATAAGAAATAAATAAAAAACAAACAAAAATACAAACACCAATAAACAAATAAACAATAAAGAAAGAAATTAACAGCCTGAAATAAGAAATAAAAAAAAACAAACAGCCAAAACAAATAAACAAATAAAGAAAGACATAAACAGCCAATAAACAAATAAATAAAGGCAGCCTGTCAAACAAATAAACAAAAAGCTCAATAAACAAATTCAATAAACAAATAAACAAATAAATAAAGAAAGACATAAACAGCCTGAAATGAGACCAAAATAAGTGACCTTCGAGAGTCTCCTCTTCCGTACCTCGCTCGCTATGTGGTTCAGATGCCCGTGCTCGTTGATGGGCAGACGAGGGTGTGGTCGTTGGCTTGGAGGTCGTGGAGGGCATGTCCAGCTTCTTGGGCAGGGACGACCTCGGTGGGGGGATGGGGGGAGGTGCCCCGCCGCCGCCCAGCTTGATGCCGAAATCCTGCAGGCGGGGATGGGGGCGTTAGAGATAGGAAGGGATGGGGTTCGTGTTTTAGTGTTCTCGAGTTTTTCATTTTTTTTTTTGCTTCTAATGTAAGTTTTAAGTTGTGTTGGTGTCATTGATGTTATAATTTGTTGTTGTTTTTTATTATTTTTGAGTTTTGGGTTTTTGCTTCTGTTGTGTGTATTAAGTTGTATTGGTATCATTGATGTTATAATTTATTTATTTTTTTTATTATTTTGTTTTGGGATCGAGTTTTGGGTTTTTTGCTTCTAATTATATATATATATATATATATATATATATATATATATATATATATATATATATATATATATAATATATTTTTTTTTTTTTTTTTTTTTTTTTTTTTTTTTTTTTTTTTTTTTTTTTCTTTCTTTTTTGCTGCTTGGGTAATTTGTGTTATTACTGTTCTAAAATTGGTATATAAATTGCTTAAATAATTCTCTTGGTTTAATGTTTTCTTTAATGGATACGAGACTGTAAAAATGCAGTAAAAACAAGCATGTTCTGAATATTAATGCAATAAAACCCTTTTTCTTCTGTCTATGTTATTACTTTCTTTAATCGTTTGCATAAAGATATTTTTTTATTCATAAAACGAAATCAAAGTTTAACAAAATTATAACCCCGAAGATGGAATCAATAAATCTAGTTTGTGCATTGTGGGTTTTTCTAACCATAGTCAATACAGTATTGTTTTTTTTTTTTTTTTTATTTTTTTTTTTTTTTCACACTTCCTAATAAAACGTCTGGATTCTGATTTTGAGAGAGAGAAAAAAAAAAAAAAAATATATCCCAATTCCTTCTCCCCCCCCCCCACAACCTGCTGCCACGTGTTTTCTTTCTTTACCGATAAAATTAAATAATAATTAAACACATGAATCCTAAAACGTCGTGGAATCTGATTTTGAGAGAGAAAAAAAATCAAATAAAAAAAGCACAAAATTCAATACTTACCCCCGCTCCACCCCTTCCAGCTTCCCTTCCACGTGTCATTTTCTTTTAATTAATAAAACGAAATCATAATTAAACAAACGTCAAATATAAAATAATTATAATTAATATAGATAATATAATATAATGATAATGATAATTGAATAAATTATAATGATAATGATAATGATAATGATAATGAATAATAAATAATAGTAATAATAATAATAATATAATGATAATGATAATGAATAATGAATAATGATAAATGATAATAATATAATGATAATGATAAGATAATAATGAATAATAATAATAATAATAATAAAATAAAATAAAATAATAACAAATAAATTATAATAGTATAATAATATAACTATAATAAAAATAATAATAATAAAAGAATAATAAAATATAATAATAGATTGATAATAATGATAATCAATAATAATAATAAAATAATAATAGTAATAAAATAAATGATGATGATATAATATATATAATAAATATTAAATGATAAAATGATAACAATAATACAAACAATATAAAATGAAATAATAATAAAGTAATAATACAATAATAATAATGAATAATATTCATACTGATCCCCCCTTTTCCTTCTCCTCCCTCTCACCCCCCCCCCCCCCCCAGCTTCCCTCCTCCTCCCTCCCCTCAGCCTGCCCTCCCCCCTCCCGCTCCCCTGTCCCTCCCTCAGCCTGACCTCCTGCTCGCCCCCCTCCTCATCCCCCCTCCACCTCCCTCCCCTTACATCCCCTCCCGCTCGAGATCCTAGCTCATCAGCATCCACAGCCGAGAGCATTCGCCAAGAACAGGATCTCCTCGCAGCTTCATCATTAAGAAGATGAAAATGACCTTCAATTTCTCTCCAAAGCGGAGAAAATAGCCGTCATGGGTCAGAGGAAGCGGCAAGAACCTGGCTTGACCGCGCTTGTCCGTGTCATGTTTTAAGGGAGCTGGTCACTCTCTCCTGACATAATTCGAGGGGGAAATGTATAGGAAATAAAGTAATTCGTTATGTTATAGAGATTAGATATTATTGATGGTGTTATTATCATCATGGCATCATTATTATGCCTATAACTAGTTCCATTATCATCATACAATGATCATTGTAATTATAACGTTTTCATTACTACTATCACCACTACAGTATTCCAAAATATCTAATATTTTCAAACTTAAAATCGAGAACAACACTTTTCAAACTTAAAATCATTAAAAAAAACACTTTTCAAGCATAAAAGAATTAAAAAAACACTTCAAATTATAAATTCTTAAAAAAACAATTTTCCAAACTTAAAAATAAAAAAAAAACACTTCAAACTTTAAATAACTAAAAAAACACTTTTTATACTTAAAATCATTATAAAAAACACGTTCTTAAACTCACCTTAAAGTCCTCAGGCAAGATGGGGAAATAGACGGGCGAATTGTCGTTCAGCTCCCCAATTGGCCCCTCGTTGATGGAGACGAGGGCGGTCGCCACGCCCACCAGCGCTGCCGAGAAGGTGGAGGTCAGGGATACGACTGAGTAGCTTTAGGGGTCAGTGTTTCTTTTAATATAGGGGGTTAATGACCTTTATGTGTTGGGTAAGTGGTGCGTCTGGCCTTTATGCAACAGCAGGGTCTAAAAATTGTTTATGGAGGAAAAAGTCGAAGCTTCTGATTATTCTGTGTTGGGTAACTTTGAAGTGGGGGCCATTGAACACTTATATTTGCAAACTGCCAATTCAAGTCACATTTTGATCTGTCTGTAAACTCCATTATACACACGTACACATTTTATACATAAAATATAGTATTATAGATACATTTATATAAATAAATACACAAGTACGTGTGTATACATGTGTAATTATGAATAGATACATACATATATACATACGCACGCACACACACACACACGCAAATAATAAGCACAGAATATCAATATATATGTATGTATTATATATATATATATATATATTATATATAATATATATGTATATATATATATATTATATATATATATATATATATATATATATATATATATATATATATATATATATATATATATATATATATATATATATATATATATATATATATATATATATATATATATATATATATATTATATACACCACACACCACATATAGTCACACATTTGCATCTTAGTATTAACTAGTATCAATATCTATATGCAATTATATTTATGAATCTGTATTTACATATTAAAACAGGTATGTTTGTGTCACGGACACAAGCATATGCATCTACGTATGCAACACACACACACACACACACACACACACACACACACACACACACACACCACACACACACACACACACACACACACACAACACACACACACAATCATTTTATGAAATCATATTTGTGGATCTGTATAACGTAATGATATATGTACGTTCGTGCCAAGTATACATACATGCACACGAAACCACATATAGAGTGACTCACAAACACAAGTAATCAATACATCCTTTATGAATGTATTTCAGAGTCGAACAATGATACACCCAACGCAAAACAACACACATAACATAAAATAACTTCAAACACACATAAGCAGAATCCAAAGTCATGGAACCAATGTAACGTGAAGTGAAAAGGGCGTAAAAATCCCGTAGAGTTTCAAGCGTCTTGATGTTTCCTTCTCGACTCACCTGATATGAAGATGAACATTTTGGATGAAGGCAACATGGCGTGCAGGGAAGAGGCTGTAAAAGAAAGAAAGAAAAAGTTAGTTGCAGTTCTTTGTTGTGGAAAAAAGACACTAAAATGATTTTCCTGCATGTGAATTATGAAATATGAATCGATACAGGTAATCTAAAGGTATTGTAAAAAAAAAAACTCGATGGCTAAATAAACGGATAATCATTTTCTAAACTTTTTAACTTATTCATCATATCAGATATCAGTATCTCTGTAGTTCAATATCATGTTCATAACAATATGCCTCACCAAACTGAGAGAAGATAAAAAAACAAATAAAAATCAACAAAGGACATATTTGTAATCAAATGAACAGATTTCATTATTCGAAATTACACGAATGGGAATTTTCCAGACACACATATAAAGCAGATTAAATATGTGGGATAAATTTTCTACATATTATGGTACGAAAGAAGACCCTGGACTATTACACCAAAGAAAACGTGACTGATGGATCTTCACTCATCAGGGTAACTATGGTGTTCTTGTTATCTAAATTTAGCACAATGTGTTTTACCTTTTACAAACTACCAATATATATACGTAACTATAGATATGAATAGGAAATACACAGGTGAATTGATCGACCAATGGATTACAATGTAAGACTTAATATCAATTATTTTTATAGTAATAGACGGAGAGAGAGAGAGAAAAGTGAAATTAGCGTACTTGAAGCTGAATTTTCTAACCCAGTTCGGCCAAGGCAACAGCTGAGATACGTCTCATCGACCAAGTCATCCACACTGCATAAACAGAAAGTGAGTTTGATGACGTCACAGAAGGCAGTGAATCACCATGAAAGTCACAATTAGTTTGGCGTGAAATCCTCCTGAAGCTTGGCGGGCCGGTGTCCTCAGTTACAGGCCATATATACACGATAAAAGGACAGATGTCCAACTGTATGTAAATATTTCTGTGTATATATGGACTGTAACTGATGACACCGGCCCGCCAGTTCAGAGAGGATTCACGCCAAACTAATGTGACTTTCACTGGTGATTCACTGCCTTCTGTGACGTCATCAAACTCACTTTCTGTTATGCAGCGTGATGACTTGGTCGATGAGACGTATCTCAGCTGTTGCCTTGGCCGAACTGGGTTTGAAAATTCAGTTTCAAGTACGCTAATTCACTTTCTCTCTCTCTCTCTCCGTCTATTACTATAAAAATAATTGATATTAAGTCTTACATTGTAATCCATTGGTCGATCAATTCACCTGTGTATTTCCTATTCATATCTATAGTTACGTATATATATTGGTAGTTTGTAAAAGGTAAAACACATTGTGCTAAATTTAGATAACAAGAACACCATAGTTACCCTGATGAGTGAAGATCCATCAGTCACGTTTTCTTTGGTGTAATAGTCCAGGGTCTTCTTTCGTACCATAATATGTAGAAATTTATCCCACATATTTAATCTGCTTTTATGTGTGTCTGGAAAATTCCCATTCGTGTAATTTCGAATACTGAAATCTGTTCATTTGATTACAAATATGTCCTTTGTTGATTTTTATTTGTTTTTTATCTTCTCTCAGTTTGGTGAGGCATATTGTTATGAACATGATATTGAACTACAGAGATACTGATATCTGATATGATGAATAAGTTAAAAAGTTGTTAGGAAAATGATTATCCGTTTATTTAGACATTGAGTTTTTTTTTACAATACCTTTAGATTACCTGTATCGATTCATATTTCATAATTCACATGCAGGAAAATCATTTTAGTGTCTTTTTTCCACAACAAAGAACTGCAACTAACTTTTTTTTTTCTTTCTTTCACAGCCTCTTCCCTGCACGCCATGTTGCCTTCGCCCAAAATGTTCATCTTCATATCAGGTAAGTCGAGAAGGAAACATCAAGACGTGTGAAACTCTACGGGATTTTTACGCCGCTTTTCACTTCACGTTACATTGGGTTCCATGACTTTGGATTCTGCTTATGTTGTTTGAAGTTATTTTATGTTATGTGTGTTGTATTGCGTTGGGTGTATGATTGTTCGACTCTGAAATACATTCATAAAGGATGTATTGATTACTTGTGTTTGTGAGTCACTCTATATGTGGTTCGTGTGCGTGTATGTATACTTGCACGAACGTACATATATCATTACGTATATACAGATTCAAATATGATTCCATAAATGATTGTGTGTGTGTGTGTGTGTGTGTGTGTGTGTGTGTGTGTGTGTGTGTGTGTGTGTGTGTGTGTGTGTGTGTGTGTGTGTGTGTGTGTGTGTGTGTGTTGATACGTAGGTGCATATGCTTGTGTCCGTGTACACAAACATACCTGTTTTAATATGTAAATACAGATTGCATATAGATATTGATACTAGTTAATACTAAGATGCAAATGTGTGACTATGTGTGTTTGTGATATATATATATATATATATATATATATATATATATATATATATATAATATATATATATATATATATATATATATATATATATATATATATATATATATATATATATATATATATATATATATATATATATATATATACATATATATATATATATATATATATATATATTATATAATACATATATATATATTGATATTCTGTGCTTATATATTGCGTGTGTGTGTGTGTGTGCGTATATATGTATGTATCTATTCATAATTACACATGTATACCACGTACTTGTGTATTTATTTATATAAATGTATCTATATACTATATTTTATGTATAAAATGTGTACGTGTGTATAATGGAGTTTACAGACAGATCAAAATGTGACTTGAATTGGCAGTTTGCAAATAAGTGTCAATGGCCCCACTTCAAAGTTACCAAACACAGAATAATCAGAAGCTTCGACTTTTTCCTCCATAAACAATTTTTAGACCCTGCTGTTGCATAAAGGCCAGACGCACCACTTACCCAACACATAAAGGTCATTAACCCCCTATATTAAAAGAAACACTGACCCCTAAAGCTACTCAGTCGTATCCCTGACCTCCACCTTCTCGGCAGCGCTGGTGGGCGTGGCGACCGCCCTCGTCTCCATCAACGAAGGGCCAATTGGGGAGCTGAACGACAATTCGCCCGTCTATTTCCCCATCTTGCCTGAGGACTTTAAGGTGAGTTTAATGACAAGTGTCTTTTTAATTATTTTAAGTATAAAAAGTGTTTTCTTTTAAAGTTTGAAGTGTTTTTTTAATGATTTTAAGTTTGGAAAATTGTTTTTTTAAGAATTTATAATTTGAAGTGTTTTTTTTATTCTTTTATGCTTGAAAAGTGTTTTTTTTAATGATTTTAAGTTTGAAAAGTGTTGTCTCGATTTTAAGTTTGAAAATATTAGATATTTTGGAATACTGTAGTGGTGATAGTAGTAATGAAAACGTTATAATTACAATGATCATTGTATGATGATAATGGAACTAGTTATAGGCATAATGATGATGCCATGATGATAATAACACTATCAACAATATCTAATCTCTATAACATAACGAATTACTTTATTTCCTATACATTTCCCCCTCGAATTATGTCAGGAGAGAGTGACCAGCTCCCTTAAAACATGACACGGACAAGCGAGGTCAAGCCAGGTTCTTGCCGCTTCCTCTGACCCATGACGGCTATTTTCTCCGCTTTGGAGAGAAATTGAAGGTCATTTTCATCTTCTTAATGATGAAGCTGCGAGGAGATCCTGTTCTTGGCGAATTCTCTCTTCGGCTGTGGATGCTAGATCGAGGGTAGGGGAGGAAGGGGGAGGGAGGGGAGGGGAGGGGGAGGGAGGCCGAGGGAGGGGGAGGGCAGGCTGAGGGAGGGGGGGCAGGGGGAAGGGAGGGGGAGGGCAGGCTGAGGCAGGGGAGGGAGCGGGAGGGGGAGGGCAGGCTGAGGGAGCGGGAGGGGGAGGGAGCGGGGAGGGGCTGGGGGGTGAGAGGGAGGAGAAGGAAAAGGGGGGGATCAGTATGAATTATTAATATTATTATTATTGATTAATATATTATTATTATCATTGTTATTATTACTATTATTATTATTATCATCATCTTATTATTATTATTATACATTATTATCATATATTATTATTATTATTATTATTTATTATTATTATTATTATTATTATTATTATTATTATTATTATTATTATTACTATTATTATTATCATTATTATTATTATTATTATTATTATCATTATCATTATCATTATCATTATCATTATCATTATCATTATCATTATCATTATCATTATCATTATCATTATCATTATTATTATTATTATTATTACTCATTATCATTATCCATTATCATTATCATTATATATATATTATATTATATTATCATATATTATATTATCATTATCATTATTTATTATTTATATTATTATTTGACGTTTGTTTAATTATGATTTCGTTTTATTAATTAAAGAAAATGACACGTGGAAGGGAGCTGGGGAGGGGGGGGCGGGGGTATCAGTATGAATTTTGTGTTTTTTTTATTTGATTTTTTCTCTCTCAAATCAGATTCCACGACGTTTTAGGATTCACGTGTTTAATTATTATTTAATTTTATCGGTAAAGAAAGAAAACACGTGGCAGGCAGGTTGTGGGGGGGGGGAGAGAAGGAAGATTGGGGGGGATCAATTTTTTTTTTTTTTTTTTCTCTCAAAATCAGAATCCAGGAGTTTTTATTAGACGTATTATACTATTATGCTAATTTGATTCCTTCGTATAATTTATAAATTTGAGTTTTATGAATAAAGAAAATATCTTTATGCTGACGATAAAGAAAGTAATGATATAGACAGAAGAAAAAGGGTTTTATTGCCATTAATATTCAGAACATGCTTGTTTTTACTGCATTTTTACAGTCTCGTATCCATTAAAGAAAACACTAAACCAAGAACATTATTGTAAGCAATTATAGTACCAATTTTAGAACAGTAATAACACAAATACCGATAGCAGCAAAGAAAAGAAAAAGAAAAAAAAAAAAAAAAAAAAAAAAAAAAAAAAAAAAAAAAAAAAATA